TATTATATAATAATAATTAAATATTATATGAAGCATTATTGTAATATATAATAAATGTTTTTTTCAGCTTGGCCGAATGCGGATCGCGAGAGAGAAAATGTTTGGTGATTAAGCGGAGTGGAAGAGATGCGCGTAAAGTACCCTATTTCCGAATCTCTGAGGTACTTACACATCAATGCTTTCGTATGAAAAACATGAGGATGACGAACCCCTTGCTTCCTCCCACATAGCAAACTCACTTTTATCGGTACCGCTAACAAGCAAATTCTTTGAACACTGACGTCGGTTCAGGATCGCAATTTTGTCATTTTGAAAAGAGCCTTTTAGCAACGCAGTGAAGAAGATGATATCAGAAATTCAAAAGAAATCAGGAAATTTCTTCGTCCTTGATTTATATCTCTTCATACTTTTGTGCGTATGATGGCTTCAACCAGTTGTGGAAAAACGACAATAAAAAATAATCTATGCAAATGCACGTTCTTCAATATATTTCTCTCTTTCGAGAGAAATAAGTAGTGTGTACAGATATACATTTTTTGCATAACAAGAAATATTCTTTATAAAGCATAAAGAACTTGATTTTATAACTGCTTTCAAAATATTTTTAGAAAAAGAAACTTCGAAGATACGTGCATACATTTATTAAATAAATATATTAATTTTTCTTCTTGTTATTTTAGAGAAACATCGAGCAATTGTCATTATTAGTATTACTTTATATTATATTATATTTTAAGTTATTATATTTAAATTTATAGTAAAAAATTTGACCTAAATTTATAATAAAATAGTAAATTCTTCTCTTCGATATAGAATGCATATTTATAAAATTAGAATTTTTTTCTTCAAATGATATTATCATGTATGCCAATTAAAAAGATCGTAATTTCTCAATCGGAAAAAATCCGGCATTAAACAGAAAAAAAAATCAACGTAAAAATTTTTTGCTCCGGAACTCGTCACTTCGTGACTTCCGCTCGTTTCCTCCATCAAAATGAAGCTCAATGGCGTCGAAATATGCGAGACGAATATTTAACGACTGCAATATTGTTGTCGATAAAATTGAAGCTTTAAAATATTATATGGATGCAGTTACTGTCATTTCCATATTCTATGTATTCTTGTAGTTATAGTTACACATGAGTATACATAATGCAATTTCTACGAGATACATCGTAATATCTAACGTAGAGAATATTTTCTATTTCAATTTATAAAGTAACGAAATTTCGAAAAATTTAAACTTCAAGGAGTTATTTATAAGATCTTTTAGAAAAATGAATTACATAATTTAATTAATTAATTGAATGTATTATAAATAACATAGAGTCTGTATTGAAGCATAGACGGTATTTCAATATTCTCAATTTAATTAACTTAATAAATTGGGAAACAGAATTTGTGCTTTGACAGATCATATACTAATAAACTGATGATGAAAAATAAAAATAAAAAAATAATTTCTTTGTAAAGAAATTGAATTATTTTTGTGAAGAATATAATAAGATTTATAATAATAAGAAAAAGGTGCTGAAGAAAAATGGAAATGTGAAGAAGAAGAAAGGGGAAATATGTGCTTATAATTTTTAAGTCTGAGACATTTGAAAAATATTAGAAACAGAGGAAAAATAAATTTTAAGCTATCAGAAATCATATCAGAATACACAATTTTTAAAATCTGTTTTTCCTTGTTCTTATTGCCTGTGCTTTCCAATTGTGCATTGAGTTTTAAGGCTTTGCCCGCAATAAAATCGGAAAATTTCTCTTTCAGGTGACAAACCGTGAAGAAAAACTATAAACATGCCGGTTGGTGGACGAGTCGCGGGTAAAGTTGGGATATATAGCTCTCACTACAATGGTAATATGGATGTGGATATCATTCCATTAGGTATATATAAGACCACATTAGCACCAAAGCAATTTTTGATGTTATGACTGTAGCAAATTCATTACATAGGCTATAAATATTGATGTAAATAAGTTACAAAAATTGCTTCGGTATGATTGTGGTATATAATGTTGGCAATCAGTGGCGTAATTCTGTAATACTCGCAGAGAGGACTTTTCTTCCTATATGTGTATTATTTCCGTGTTACGATGTTATAAGTATTATAAGTATTATGGCAGATCATTTTTCATAACTTCGATATAATTTACTTTATGAATTACAAAAATAAGTTGGTTTTTAATAATGAATTATTTTCTTTTCTAAAAGTGAATTAAAGTCCTTTCGTGCAGAAAAAAAAATGTGTGTATTAATGTTTACTCACGTTTTTTGACACGTTGAAATTGTTTCTTATTATTGTGTTTTATATAATATACATAATGAAATCGCTTATCCAAAACGATTGGTTATCATTTGAAATATTATATAAATACTTTTATTTTTGTTAAAAAAAATCTTGGCTGTAATGATTATATCACTGTGCTTTGTTTACACAAAACATTACGATTCCACACACAATGTATTCTGCACGATTATTACATGAAAAAGAGAGAATTATTTTTTATTACCTTTTTACATAAATGTTTCAAATCTATTTTTACCAAATATATGCAATATTCGAATGCAAACCGAGTTTTGATTCTATTACGCCACTATAACGTCACACAACATTCAATCGCATGATATATGAATTCCAACATAAATCAAATACACGGCGCACTTTTGGCAGCGGCATATGAAATTGTTGGCGAAATCAATAACGCAACCAGAATTGCGCTAATGTTTACGTAGTGGAAAAACGAAAATGTTGACCCTGGGCCAACTGCAGTAAGGCCATCCTCTCTTAATTTACCAATAATTTCTATGTCGTCTCAATCTCGAGCACCTACTCGCGATTGGATTTTCTCCAAGTTGTGGAATATCGTTTTGAGTATCTTATCGATTTTCATGAGTATAGACTGGTAAGAGATTCAAAGAAGATTGGAGCAACGCAAATTGCCTTTGAACAATAATTCTAGAAATCAACTCGAACTGATCAGCAAAATCAGAAAAATGAAAGTTAAAAATGTGATATTTTTTCGCAATTTTTAACAAAATACGCGATATGCAATTATATTATTTAGACACAACTACGTGCTTCCTAAAACTTTTAGAGTTAATCTCTGAAGAGTGAAATCTCACTCTTAAAGATTGAAACCTAAACTATATTCTTTTTCGAGACTGGCTCAATTTTCACTCTTTAAAGATTCCACTCTAAAGAATTTAGAGAATGAGAAATATTCAAGATTGGAAAGTTAGGATGTCCCACAAATAACATAATGCTTTAATGATGTATATTCGAATAAAAATTAATAAGAATGAAAATTTCACGAGAACGTCGGGATCATAATAGCTTTAAAATTAAAATTTCGAGCATTTTTTATATAAGTAGAAATTGAATTTACGTAAACTTCAATGAAGAATTGATTATTTTTATCGAGTTTATCGTTTCATTTGTATTATTTAATATATAAATTTCCATTTTTCTTTATATGTATATGCTTTATATGTATATGCTTTTATGCATTAATCTTCATTGTTAATTTTAAATATCACCATGTCAAAAAGCTGTCCTCATTCGCTTAAAAAATGTTCTACCTTTAAATCATTTTTTTTCAACTTCGCCGTATCGAAAAAACGAAGATTGTTATATTCCAGGAAAATTCCCTGGCAGAGAGAAAGAACTTTAAGAGAAAAATTAGCTTATTATCATCAGCATCTCACGAGTTTTAGATTCTGTCTTTTATTTTTTCCACGGTGATATTTATAATTTAGAGAAGCGTAGAAGAATATTTACACCGGACAAAGAAGATACATTATTCTACCGGAATTAAAATAAAAGTTTTAAAACGCGAAAAAACAAAAAACTATCCTGACATTCAGCAGCTATAGTTTCATTAAAAATCACGTACCTCGAATTCAAGTGTTATCTTAAGTTTTAAACACCATTCGAACACTGGCGCAACAATTTATCGACAACAAAAACTTTAAAATTCGCCGTCGTTATCGTAATGGCCCAAAAGAAGCCTTTTAAGAGCGACAGTCAAATAACAAACGTTAAATTACGCGGAAACGGAAATCGTTCGAGTTTGCGGTGTAATAACGATTTTCTTCAGCAAATAATAATAAAAATCTGTATAGTTCGCATCAGAATCATTGATTAAAATTGATTTTTCGAATATCACTTGTATACTAATTATTCGAGTAATTAGCATGCATATTGTTTAAATTTCACTATTTGATTAACAGTTTTTTGTTGGTTTGAAGAAATAAGCATATTAAAAGATGTGACAAGATAATGAGATATACATAAATCAACAGAATCATCAGTCAAAAGAAATTTCATTCCGTTTCTCATTATAATGTACAAAGTTCAGAATGCCAAGTTAGATAATTCTTGAAATATAAAATATGAAATAAAAGCAGATTTCCACATAATCAATATAATGTCATGAATATTTTATGTTTTTTACGCGATTATTATTACATATTTTTTTATGAATTTTTATATCCTATTATTATATTTTTAATATCAGAATTAATTTCAATGTGATGAAAATTCAATTCAATGTTAAATATTTTAATGGAATTTTCTCTCTCTCTCTCTCTCTCTCTCTCTAAAATAATTCATAAAAAAAATATATAAAACTGAGATAATTTCTAAATCTATAAAATTTTTTTATATTCTGCGAAATATTTAGTACATCTCGTATTTCTCTCACATCTTATTTTTTTCAAATAAAATCAAAATCAATAACTATAAATGAATAGGCTACAAAAGATAAAATTGGCACATAAATGGTAATAATAGTACAATGTTTATTAAATAAATTAATTGAAATACTATATAATTAGAATACTTTTTTTACTTAAACTTAAACATTCGCCAATTGAAAACAATTTTTGACAATTAATATTATCTCTCGCGCCAATTTATATAATATTTAAACCTGCGGAGAAGAGAAAGATTACAAATGTTAAATTCTATTTTTAAAGTATCTATTTCAGTAAAGAAAAAAAAAGGAAGATATCTAAATATATCATTAATAATCTCTTTTATTATATTTTACATAAATATTTTTTTATTTACATATGATACATATGAAAAAATTAATAAATAAGTTTTTGTCTTTATTATAAAATACCATAAAAGTATTTTTAAGCAAAACTTTCTTCATTAGTTACTGTTTCATATTTAAAAAAATATCTAAAAATAGTAGTATCTTCACACACTCTCATCTATACATGAAAAAACTTATCTTTGTAAAATACAAAAGTGTGAAAGATAATAGTGTATCTTTACTAGATTTAAAACCATTTTTTTCAAAGCAAAGATCACACTCTAATATTATTTATCACTTTTTATATGCTTGAGTTAAAAATTATTTCTATCGAAGCAAATTTCAAACATTGCATTTTTAATACAATATTCCAGAAATATTCCATAAATATGCAACAGAATATATCAAAAAGTAATCAGACTAATCAAATAATAAGGTCTGTCTTTCAACTTTATATGTATGTATTTTTGTATACAATAAATCGATGTATAAACAATTGTATATACATTATTTAGGGTTAAATATTTATATCAGTTATAGCCCATTCATTTCAAGGCAATAAATTTATGAAATATATTAGACTCACTTGTATTAGGTATAGTAAAAAGAAATCCATTATTTTTGAAATTGAATGGAAAAATATTTCTTTTTACTACACCTAATATAATATTTTCATATTCAAAATATGAATTTTTAATTTCTCTTTCAAACAGAATCAGCAACAAAATTAAAAATTTAATTATTTGATATTTTACAAAAATAAATAATGTGAAATATTTTATTGTAATCCTTATTATTAAATTCAATATTTTACATGTATGTTAATCAGTGTTATGAAAGCTAATTTCTCAAATTCTTTGATCACTTTTCTGATAGTTCTTATTTTACTTACATCTCATATATTTTTATACCTATAATTTTCACAGATCCCTCACGATTAATATAAAATAAAAAATGATTTATCACTCACCAATACGATATCGCAACAGCGGAGGTGCGAGACACAAATTGATCTGTAAAATATAAAAAAAAAACGTCTAAATTACAAAACGCTCCAAATTACTGAAAACAATTAATATTTCAAAATTCAATTATTGCGCGCGTTAAATTTTTATTCATCTTTTGAAATATCTCATCTTTGAATATTAAAAAAAGATATTAAATAAAAAATACTAAATAAAAAATTATATTATTTCCATAATATTGAATTATTATGAATTATTATGAATTATACAACTTCGAAATCTTTTCGGGACATAAAAAAATTGATTAATTCCGCACAAATACGTATACATAAATAATAAATTACCTAATGGTTGCTCCACTGTTGCCCGATGCCTCCTAGACCTCCTCCTCCTCTCAGATTTTAGCATTACGATTGTACGACACAACACTCTCGAGCATGATAATTACGAACACGCGTAATACTAATCATGACAATCGCGCGACAGTTTATACACGGCACTCCCGACGCTAAACGTCCGCGACGCTCATCTTGTTAGATTTCGACGACAAGAATAGTACGAGAAGAGAACAATAGAATGGAATTAAAAGCGCTTGGCATCCGCGATAAAGCGTCTCGCGAATTAATCAACGTAATGGTAAATCCCGCACGGCGAAATGATTTCTAAGACGAGGCCAACTTCAAGCTCCACTAACCGTTTCTATCGTTGCACTCAGTCTCAGTTTCATACACTTTCTGTACCTTGAATTATAAGTAGCGCCCATAAAAGCGTTTTATAGGGCAATTATTTATCCATTGATGTATTCTAACATAAACGAATAAGCTAATGACTTGAAATTAAAGATGAATATCCGCGGAATGCAATGTTCGGAAATACGATTATGATCGCTTTGACGAACGTTCGCGTGATGAATTTCCAATAAATTTCGCGAAATAGGTCTCGTAACGTCCCACCTAAATACAAACGACGAACCTACATACTGATATGTAATTAATAAGTATTACAGATAAAGATAAATTAATCAGAGATATATTTACTAATTAAACGTGTAACTCCGCTCTCGATTCCGAGGCGATCTGTTCCGTTTCCGCGGCCATCGCCATCTGTGCATTGCGTGACCAGCGTGACGTGTAACTGACAAATTGGAGAGTGAAGTTAGCAATTTCATGGATACCACACGACGCGAATCAAATTAGTGACTGATTGAAACGCGACAGACCGTTCAAAAATATACGTAAATGAAACTCAAGAACTCACGCGACGCATTCTGAACACATAAATTTATTATTAACGCGTGTATTTCACGAAATATGCGCATTAATAATAAATCGTATTACGACTTTTCATTACTCGATTCACTCGATCCGATTCGTATGTAATAATCATTCCATATAATCATTTCACTCTCATCTTGATAGACAAATTATATTCAGTCGATTCTATATCCTGAAATGAGAATATTTCTAAATTTATTGACGCCTAATAAATATGCTCACTTTTGTCATTTTCAATATACAGAATCAACTCGTAAAGCTCAATATCAGTGCGGATTACATTATCGTCTTGAAAAACTATTATAGAAACAACTAACTCACAAATATCACCACGAAACAATGATAATTTATGATTTACGTTAAACATTTCGCTTAATTGCTCTAAATAATATAATACGAAATACCTGCTTCGATACAAATAAGCCGTACCGATTGGATACGCGAACGAATTAATTGTTAATCGGAAGTTAAATGATCATATTCGGTCGATATTCATTAAGTATTGGTAGAAGAATCGCATTTGGAGCTTTGTTCTCCTACTATTATAATTCGAAAGGTAATACGACGTATTATACGCGGCACACCGTCTAGCTCGAGTGACGACGCACGAATGATAGCTGATAATAGCGGTGACCTTGTTTACGCAGTTACGTTAACCGTTACGCGCCACATAAACAAATCCGGAATCCGCATTATTATTGAAACTGAAATATTCAAAGCTTTACGAAATAATAATTATGTGCCGAATATGTTTCCGTATAGATAATTTTAACGAGCTCGCATTATCATCTCTTGTTTCGCATATCTCTTTTCAATAGTAAACTCAGCGTCGCCTAAAATAATGATTGATTCTCGATTGAGAATATTGGGCAACAAAGTTAATCATTTTTTTCTATTAAGTAAGTGAGAACAATCATTTTCAATGTATTTTTACTTGCTGAGTATATTTTTACTTGTTCGATTAATAGTTTTCAATTTTAAGAAAAATGGTATAAAGGCCAATTTAAAAGATTTTCATAACGTTATAGTATATATCGATGACAAATTTTTTTCTATATTTAATTAATAGCATGTATCAACTTTAAAATGCATTTTATTTCGACATGATTTTTCGTTTTTGAGATATAGCAATTAAAAAATGGCTTTTTCCTCTTTTCTCGTGCAATACATGGAAAAAACATTTTATTCTCAGTATATTATGTGAAAAATAAGTGCTTTCTTACTTACATAATATTATACTTTCCACATAATGTAGTATTAAGATGGAATAAAATGTCTTTTCCATGTATTTTCAAATTGCTGTATTTTGAAAATGAAAAATCATACCGGAACGAAACAAGCAAAACTTTCGTGTGGCATCAACCAAATTTAGAAAAATAAATACTTTTCCGATACATTTTTATTTATTTAGTGGAATACTAACGGCTAAATTAACTACCAGTAATCAATTTGTCAATAGTTAATTGTTATATACGTGATATCTGCAATATAAAACCCATTTTGGATGATACATAATTCGCGGAATTTTATTTATAATTTTATGTGCAGTTGTATAGATATAAAAAGTACTTAAAAAATCAGGATAAATAAGATACACATAAAATACATACAGAAATATACCGTATGTCTTACATAATCAATATACAGGTACATAAAATTATAAATAAAATTCAAACATAAACTTTGATGCAAATTATAAATTATCTAAAGCGAGCGTAATAAATTATTGGCAAAAAATCAATATTATGGAGAATAAAATTTAATTATAACTTAAGTTATAAAATCGACAATAAATGACACGCATGTAGGCGTATTTCTACAAAACAAGCTTTACAAGATAATGGAATATTGCATCGTAATTTCAATCATTTTATAATTTGAAAACTATTGCGACTTTTACACTTTTATATTAAGATTTTTGATTTAATTTTCTGAATGCTATTAACCTTTCGAAACTGATGCCAAAATCTGTAATACAGTTACTAACGTTGACCTATTTAATTTATGTTCATTAAAAGACATTAATTAATTTCAAGGAATTAAAACCATATGCCATAACTCATATAAATATTAATGTATCAAATAAGATAGTGAGCTAATGGGAATTAGCGCTGTACACCGTGCACAATTATTTCTTATAAAAAACTTTATCGCAGCTAACGATTACATCAGAAATATAAAACGCACGGTATACAACGTTAGCCCATTTCCTTGTTTGATATATTTGTATTTCTCAGGAATTTTATTTGTTATTTTTAACCAACAAATATTAAATATATTTTAATAAGAATAATCCAAATTTGCAGAAGTAACATAAAAAAAATGGAATTGTTTAAAATTAATAAATTTTTAATAAAGAGTATAAAGTGGATTTAATTGGATCCATCTTCATTTACAGTTCCAAAATTAAAATATGATTATTGTGGGACATCCCGTAGTTTATGCTGTGTTTCCTAAATTCTCTTAAATCGATCTTCCATGAACTTATTTCGAAATGAAGCAGATGTATTCACTATGGCAAGCGAGAAATTAGATTTTCATAGCAGCAAATTATAAAGATACATAACTTAAAACCAGATTTAAACGTTAAATTTTTTCATCGAGTAAGATGGGATTGGAAGAAGAAAAATTATATATGCTTTTATAAAATTAATATATTTCAATAATAAAATTATATTTGTAATTAAGATCTAAAAGGCACGAAATTAGTTTTTATTGACTTAAAAACGCGACTTACGCTTTTTATTCCTATAAAAGTTTTAAGTTAAGTTTTATTCCTATAAAATTCCAACGTTTTTGTATTTTTAACGGAAATTGGAAATTGGAAATGATACATAAGCTCTAGGAATAAAGCTTTTACAAATAACAGTTGCAAACCTGTCAATTCAGCTTGAAAGTCTTTTAGATATTGATTATAAATACACGTATGGTTTTATGTCGTTATTATCAAAATGTCATTCGATAATGTTCATTTTTTTTTCTAAATAATAATATCCAAATAATAATTCGTTTTTTAATCAATTCTACAAAGTTTTGTGATATTCAGTATAATATAAACAAAATAGTTTCACCAATGTAAGAATAACTTTAATTTATTGTTTGTCCTTCTCTAATTTTTAAGAGAAAAAAATAAAGAGTAAATTAAACCAAGATTAAAGTTAATATTACATTGGTAAAATCATAAAATGCTACTTGACATTCAAATGTAACAGATGCATGTAGAAATGCGAAATAAATCCAGTCTCATTTCAGGAAAGGGCTACAGTGGCATAAACGAGGAGATCATTTGGATCAGCATAGGCATGGGGATCACCATTGCCATCTTAATCACCATAGCGCTCTGCTATATCGCTCGTGAAAAGTGTCGCAAACGACATGAAGGGTATTATACGTCATGACGTATGTTTCCGCCGCCTTCATGGGCATCCTGGTCATTTAGCCCGACGACACCAGGAATCCTTTTCAGTCCGACCACGTCAAGAGGTAAACCACGGGCTTACTACATCACCGTCTGAATTCTCTCACGCTTCTCCGTGGAAAAAGTCCTGTAGCCGCACGAAAAATTCCAGTGGAATATGAATGAAAGAACGTAAAGTAAAGTGCGCGATTTCGTCTATATTAACGTATCTTGGTAACATTACGCGTAAAAATGGATTTTCCAATCATGGAAATCCGGGGATTATAACACAGATCTCCGATTCTATCGTCTCTCTAAAAAGAAGTCACATTCGAAAAAGAAATTGAAAGAATTAAAAGGATTTTCTAATTGAAACTTGGGAAACGGATAGATTATTAATCGTCCATCTGCAATCTGAGTCTTTTTCAATCAGTCCGTTTTTTTTTTTTTTTACTGTTTTAGAAGACTTTTGAAAAAATGAGAAAAATTCTGGGTTACCTTTTAACATCTCTATTGCATTATTAAATAGTTTTTTAACTTATATCTTAGGAGAGGAGAACCGGATTCTGCTCTCTTTTATTTCAAAGTAATTTGAGAGTAAAATTTCACTTTTATCTAAAAACATTCAGATTGTAGACAGAAGGTTGAAATAAAAAAAAAACTGTAAAATGGAAAAATAATGTCGCGCGCAAGATTAAAATTTAAAGAGCGGTAGGATATGGTTCATCTATGAGAAAATCGATTTTATATTTCTCCGAGCGTAAACTTTTATCATCGGCATAATACTCTCTTTGGGACACATTCAATATCTCGTTCGCAAGACATGTTTTCAGCAATATCAAGCGTTGTGGGTTATTGCCAGGGCACATTTCCTGAGAGAGAGAGAGAGAGAGAGAGAGAGAGAGAGAGAGAGAGAGAGAGAGAATAACTTTTTTGCTCCATTACGCACACTGGGAGAAAGATTCTTACGAGAGGAAAAAAGCATTGCCTTAAAGTCTCAAAGGCTACAAAGGCGTTTATCTAAAATGAGGACAGTAGTCTAGTATGGATTTGTAGCGACGCAACGATGACTATGCGAGATAAGTATAATAGCTCTCTGACATTCAACAAATTGTGATTTCTTCTAAACACACTCGAGCTTTGTATCTAGACAGTAGAATGATATGAGTGTACATGTGCGAGTGTAGTCAATGGACTATATTCTCATTCGCGCCTGTACGTGTCCTCGAAAGAGCTTTCCGCTGTTAAAATGTTTCTAAAAGGCGACACAACAGGGGATGCTGGGACACTATCTGGTTAAAAGTGCATTGCACAAAGTAAATAGCAATTATCTACAAGATGGAAGCGAACTGTCTTCTCGATTAAATACAGACAAAGTAAAATTAATAATATGACTTTTATTCTCGAGAAAAAGTTATTCTAATTTTTTCAAAAGTCAAATACGAAAAATAAAGAAATTGTCTTTAATGTATCTTTATTCTGTGAAAAGATTTTTTTTTATATTCAAATTAAAACAATTGCCGTTCGAAATCGAAACATGATTATAACATAATAAAATCGAGAAAATCTATACAAAAATTATACAATCCTAAATTTTAATAATTAAAACTTTATTAGAGCTTTATCTTTCAATTTCGTAAAATGCACCCCCCTATTTGATTATTTTTCAATTTATCCATTTTTATCGTAAAATATAAATTATTAATTTTTCCGAAAAATTTATGAATAATACATAATTTACGAATATCATATATCTTTCGTTTAAAGTATACATAATTGATAAATGAAATAAAATTAATAAGTAACAGTTGCAATATACTCAATTGCAAATGCATTTCATAAGAATCGTCAATGCTGAAAGTGTTTACAAGATCTACAAAGATTTTCTGTGCACCAATTATTCGCTCAAATAACGCGAAGGAAAAAAGTCGTCTTAAACGATTCAGACGTTCCTCACACGTCTCTACGATGCCTTTCAGATAATTGTCTGAGTATTCTCGTCACGAATGCGAATGATATCGCCCGTTTTCATTACTCATCCGACATTTTACCTTGGGACAAATAGAAGAGTCTCATCAAAGTGCTCCCAAGTAGAAAATTCTTGCTCCAAATGAAAGTGCGGTGATTTACGACTATTACGTATTACGAACATTTTCACGGATCACGTGATCGTTTATCGTACCGTAAAATAAAAGCCAGAGCGTCAGATCTTATTATTAATGATTATTAAAGGAATCTTTATACTTTCCTCTTGATTACACTCTTGATTCTAAATGCAGTTCTGCATTATTGGCAAGCGATCGATAAAATCTTGAACTGAATAATTCTGAAGCTGGATAATTCTTTTACATCGTTTACGTTAATTAACTTTGTTATCTACCGAAACTTCGATATTCATTTATATCACAACATGATTACGGTGCCGTAGATCACGATAGAGTTTCAATCTCATATTTCCTGCTTCCTTTACGGTATCACTTCGAGAAAAATCGTTTAACTTCTTCAAAGATCGTTCGCCTACACGCCTTCCAGCTTCGATCGATACTTTAATAACATTTCATATTATTGGACCGCCTCTTGCAGCTGATGTTAATCCCAAGCGTCATATATTTTCGTCAAACATACATTTTCTACGAAATGTATTCCGGTCTACACAACGCGAGTAATTTCTGAACAATTTTAATTATGCTATTAAAAGTTTCAATTTCATATTATAACTTTTTCATATTATAACTTTTTCTTTAATGTGGGTCTAACGTGGGTCTATTGAATCCACTCAATTATTCTCTATATCTTTACGTTACATTTGCAAATTTGAATTATTTTATTAAAATAAACTTAGTATTCATTCATTTTTTAATATAATCTACATCATTTCTGAAATTAATTTTTTTTTAATTAATTAGTGCCTTTTAATTAATTTCTTTTTAATTAACGTATATTAAATGAATCTCATAGATTCAATATCAATTACAGGTTTTGACATCAGCTCCAGAAAATTAATATCGATCGGAACAAATGTTTATTATTTAAAAGAAAAATTATAAACTGTTAAAGAGACACGTTTTATTAAAAAAAGGTTAATTTCCTAACGCCAATAGTTTATGATTTAAAATCACTATCCTTTAATACGATTTAAGCTATAGATTTTACTGGAAATCCTGAAAGCACATAGCATCTCCTTTTTTAAACAAAGTATTGAAAGGCGCAATTTTCACCTAAATACTTTCGTGCAAATCGCATTATTCAACGAGATCTCACGACATGATTAATTGAATGATCACGAAGTGTGTTTGTCATAAGAAAATATTTTTAGTTAAAACGAGCGCCAGGGATCGAAAGCGACTTTGAATACGTAGTTTATCTCAGGCTAGGCGTTTGTTCGCGAGCGCTGTAATACGTCCAAACGACTTTCTCTTACACGTAAATTGTACTCTCATTAGATAATTTCGTGCACTTCTACGTAATTAACGGGTTACTTACCTATGTAATCCAGAGTCTACAATTAATTCCATATAACGTAAGAATCTTGACCAAAGTCTAGAATGTACTTCTGAACTGAGATTAAACTCGGGCCTCAATTTAAAAAGACATCGACCTTTAGAGGAGCTTACTATAAAGTAAAAAATATTTGCTGTTAGAACAGGTTTTGTTCCAAAGCATGTTCTCCACGAAATTGAAGTCGGAGTTCTGTGTAACAAGATATCTGTTAAAAATTAAAAGCAAATTACGATCTTCTAAAGATCGATTGCAAATTTATCTATAAATTTAGATGTTCTTATACGTGTAAAAAATGTGTATTAAATAAATATAACATAATTTTAAAAATATTTCGTGGCCAACAGTTTTGGGAAACTTTATGTTAGAAAATTATATTGTTGTGATGTGACTAAAAAAATGTTGTGTAGATATCGTAAAAAGGATTTGGTAAGTGCGAAGAGGCCGGTTGTCAAAAGATAATAAAAATAAATAGATTACGCTTCTCTAAATGCGTAATAATTTTTTTCATCTATAAAAATACATGACGCATAATTTATTTCTACAGTTTACTTTCGCATATAAAAAAAAGAATGTTATTAATAACAACTATTTTTCTCATCAGTCGCAGTTGACATATAAATAGTATCACATGATATAATCAATGTACAAATTCTGTTCAAAACTCTGTTTAAAAGCAATAACGATCTTATAAACGGATTGGAAATTTATCGTAGGCGCTCCTATACATGTAAAAATGTGTATATTAATAAATTATTCTCCTAAAGTTGCAATTATTATATTACAATCTATAATAATATAGCTTATAACTCGTTATTTATTTTAAATCAGACTTTATAGGTTTATATATATCTTTACTTCAATAAAATGAAAAGTTGGTCACAATCATTATATAACGTACGCGTTATGAATAACAAGTGATCTCTATTTCGCATTTCAATCGAGAGAATAAGGAAGATCCAATTGTCATTGGTGAAATCATTAATTCAAACTGTCTTGATGACCGGTGACCTCGCACGTAAAGAAGATGAATGTTCTCGCGATTCACTGTCTCATGAACTTTAGACGTACATACATGTATGTTTATATTTTATAATTGTCGAGAGAACTCGTTCCGCATTAGTGGCGCGCAGTTTATGTATAGTCATGTATATGTGTATGTAAATGTATATTTTACAGATTTTAGAGAGTGTACTTAAAACGCGCAGCACTACGCACACAATGGTATACACTTGATAGTTTATACACCTATTATACATCCATAGAAAGTAGAAAGATGATATTCCATATATATTACTATGCAAATGACCAACTTGATAGATCAATGTATTAATTACTTCTTTATTTGTAATGAATAAATTATTATACCATACTCAATTCTCACGTTCTATATTTTCTTTCCTGCACATTTTACTAATTAAACAGATTGGATATTTCGATTAATGACTCTTAAAAGGCTCGTGGTCTCTGTGGAAAGCGCAATTTTTCTGCACACTATTGAATTATTGAGAATTTACTCTTACATGTAATGACAGGGAGTAAGGAAACAAATTTATTATTTTTTTTTAATTATTAGGAAAATAAAAGTCGTAGCTCATATCTGGGAAATGGAATAAGTGATAATGAAAGAGATTTCACAATGACGTTTAAGTCAGTGATTTACACCTTTGTACATTTATTTTGCAAATTATTTTCAAATAACGATAATTGCTAATAATCATATTAATAATAATTATATCTTTGATGTTATAACACCAAACAATTGACCATGCCTACTTAAGTAATGTACAGCGCTTAATAATTAATAAAGATTAGTACCAGCTCTCATACACTTAGCTATCGCAGGAACTCTTGTGATGAATAAAAAAGAAAGATGAGCTGCCTCTGATCATTAGCTCTCATGAGTGCTTGTCGTTTCATGTTCTCACTTGATTACTGATATTAGCTCCCGCCATTTTCGTTCTCTTTCGTGAAATAAAAAAAGAAAAATATGAAGCTTTTTGTATCTGTGTGATACACATATTAAACATAATTGCTATACATCGCGCATTTTATGCGGCAAAATGTACAAGTTTCCCGGAAACTGCGCTGTTTTCTCTGTCGGCTCGTATTTATATGCTGGAATTGCACGAATACGTAAATAAAAAAAATACAATC